CCCATCCATCATACACCCTGTCACGTGCAATCGCTCCTCGGGGCTTCGAGGCGTCCTGCGCACCCTTGTTTTTCAAGCCTCGTTATCACCCTTGTCATAATCAACCGCGAGAAACTTTATTATTTGGACACTGGGTGTATGAAAAATTTGTGCTTTAATCCGCCGGCGGCTTCGATGACTCTCGAGACCCTGTCGGCGTTTCCTTCGTGAACGTCCGGACGCCCACTAACCTTCTGACCAAAGTCGACCTTTTTTTTAAAGAGTCCTTCCTCGTTCCCTGCGAACCGATTCAGCCCGCTAACTCCATTCAGTTTATTCGCCGAAGGACACTTCTCTGATCCCACATTCAGTCAGGGAACCACCCTACTTTCGCACCCCACGTAATAGCTATTCAGGCCGATTTAAATGTAAAGGGCATTCATCGAGCTTTTACGCCTTTACTACGAGGCATACTTTTTCTCTCTCTGGCTCTTCCTACTTCCTTCTCTCTCCCTCTCTTTCTACCTCGGCGACCCTGCCCACTCTACCTTCCACCGAAACCCCTCGCCGTTCTCCTTTCATCTGCCAGTTTGCTTCTCTTTACGAGCATCCCTCGTTCGACACCCGCACTCGGCCGTAAACCAGATAAAATAGGACCACGTGTCAGCATCCCTCGTGTCACCTGAATCGGACTTCTCTCATCTCGTCCGAGTACCGTGTGCCCACCTCTTATCGACAACTGGAATTTATCATTCTACGCCGACTGTACACGTGGCACGGAGTGACACCGGGATACGGGAAAAGCTTCTCTTCGATGGTTTAACGTAAAGTCAAGAAAAATGTTCTCGCTGGCTAAGTTCGCTAATCGCAAGGCCGTGTATTTTTAACTTCAGAAGCTTCCAGCGGCCTGCCGCGCGGGATCAATACGCGAGCAGCACGCTGCGTAACGTTCAAAGTATACCATTATACCTACGTTGAGCTTTAACCTGTATAGAGACCAAGCTTTTTTTTTGTGATAACAAAAATCTTTAATAACCAAATTTTAGCCAGTAGCCAAAATTTTGTTTCTTATCGATGTTACCATTGGCGCAGTTGATAACAGTTGACGGCACGATTGATAATACGTATTAGAATTTTTTTTTTTTTTTTTTTTTTTTTTTTTTTTTTTTTTTTTTTTTTTTTTTTTTTTTTTTTTTTTTTTTTTTTTTTTTTTTTTTTTTTTTTTTTTTTTTTTTTTTTTTTTTTTTTTTTTTTTTTTTTTTTTTTTTTTTTTTTTTTTTTTTTTTTTTTTTTTTTTTTTCGTGGGGTTGAAATAATTTAAGGATTCTCGAAAGCTAAGCGTAGGATTAAGAAAACGAGGTGGAGCAAGGAGAGGGGATAGTCGAAGGATTTGATCTCCTTTTCGTTAGGAAAGAAAGAAAAGATAAGGGGTGACTTTTCGTAATCTTGGCGGTGGGGATGACGAGGGGTGACTTCTGAAAGGGATACTCGTATTCGGTGGTTGGCTTTCAGGAATAGGGAGGGGATGATAGTTTGAAAGGGGTGCGGGACCAATCCCTTTTATTATCGTTTCCCAGTGACTATATACCCCCCCCCCCGTCTCGAGGGGGTTGCGAAAAGTTTACATTATGAATTGGATGAACTAATGGATTCTACTTCTACCGGAAGTCGACTGCGATACCAAAGCCGCTGCTTCCCTATATCGCTGCCCGTAGAAACGGATCGGCATTATGCGGAATGCGGAAAACTTTCTAGCTGGCGAAAACGATTGGCTCCTCTCTCGACTCGGCAGCTTCTTCCTTCTCGTCGAAGTGTCGTTTCTGTCTTTCGCGAGAAGATTGATTATTACCATCGCCGAATCCGAGTGGCTCGACTTACATTTTTGTTCGTGATGACTCGAAGGCAGCCTTGAAAGTTACATCAAGATCCGTCGTGATGAAATTTCGTGCTGTGTTGAGAATCTGAAATATTTATGATGTTATTTATTCGTTATATCATCCAGGTACTTGCGGTGGGATTGGACGTTTACTGTGGACCGATTGATTATTTACGTGGTATAAATGCAGCCTGAATGGCTGTGTAGGCGAATGTCGCCGATAGTAATTCGCTTTATTATTAACGTGGTGTACAAGTGCACGCGGTAGGAAAGTTTTTTCCTAATTTTGTCCCGTTAACAAATCGACGTAGAATATTCAAAAGGCTCTTACGATGCTTCGTTGAAGGTTCGACGTTGTGTGGGCTTTTTGAATAGCCGGCAAACGGTTGTTAGCGCGAGGCGCGACTTCCGGGATGCTGCTGTCACGTCGCCACGAGGATTTGGATCTTGGGGCTGAAGTGTCATTCTCGAATGGCTGGTATGAGGAATGGTAAAAAAAAAGAAATCTTAGGTAAAAAGGAATATTCGCGAGAACGGATACTCGAGAGACGTCTTTCGCGAAAGTCTTGAGAAATTGCGAAGTAAGAGATTACGGGCTGGATAAATGGGAACGTATGTCGAGTTTGAAATATAAATTTGGGAGGCGATTTTGGGAATTCCTTGCAATAGCGAAGGATCGTTTGTGTTGCAGATCGAGGGGAGATCCTTTTGGCCGAGTCGGAGAAGGATCCGTGCTGGAAGCGCAGAATCCGGGGAAGCGAGAGGGTGCGTCCTTGGGAAAGGACATCGAGGCGGCTGACTGATCCTGCTGAGCCAAGGATAAGGGAGGCCGACTTGGAAGGGCCGTGGGAGCTTTGGGATTCGCGAATCAGCTCGAGGGACAGCCCGAAAATTCTTCTCTCCAAGCCCAAGATGCACATAGAGGTGCAGGTGGCGTTAAATTTCGTGATATCCTATCTGTACAATAAGCTGCCACGACGGCGGGTCAACATCTTCGGCGAGGAGCTGGAGAAGGCGCTAAAGGACAAGTTCAAGGGTCACTGGTACCCCGAGAAGCCGTTCAAGGGCTCGGCGTTCAGATGCCTGAAGACGGGGGATCCGGTCGATCCAGTTTTGGAGCGAGCGGCCAAGGAGAGCGGCGTGCCGATCCAGGACATCCTGGAGAACCTGCCGACCGAGCTGGCCGTCTGGGTGGACCCTGGTGAGGTCAGCTACAGGATCGGCGAGAAGAGCGCCGTGAAGATCCTCTATTCGGAGGCGGCTGATCCTCACGACGAGACCTCGGCCGATCGCGAGGTCACCAAGACCTTCAATCCCGAGGCCCAGTGCTTCAGACCCATCGAGGCCGTCGGCACGTCCTTGGGTGGATTGAGCCTCAGCCCCAAGTCCACCTCGCCTTTCCCATCCTCGATCGGCAGCAACGCCAGCAACGGATCATCCAACAACCAACAGAACGGCCACGGGTCAGGCTCGTCGTCGGCGCCGTCGCCAACCCCGCTCGCCAGCTCCTTCAAGGGTTCACCCAGTCCAGTGCCAGCCTTCATTCCGCGCACCACCGCACCCTTGACCTTCACCACGGCTACCTTCGCTCAAACCAAATTCGGCAGTACGAAGCTCAAGACCAGCAGCAAACGGGCTAACAGGTATTATTTGTATCCATTATACACCTGCCTGTCGGAATGCGAGCGGGGAACGGTTGACGATTGAGTATTCGTACCGGTTGAACTTCCATTCCGACAGGCGGGAGTTTCAAGATCGGGTCATTAGGACGCCCACGCAGTATTGTATCAATGACATAGACCTGACGGTTTCAGAATGTCGCCCACCGAGTTCTCGAACTACATAAAGCAACGCGCCATTCAGCAGCAGATTCATCATCATCATCATCACCATCAGCAGGCCGGTTTACCGGTATCCCAGAGTTCACCATCCAGTCGTTCCCTGTCACCCGGCATAGTAGGAGGTCAACAGCACACGGATCCGAGCGCCTACTTCTTCCAGCACGGTCCCTATCATCCTCAGTTTCCGCATCGCAACATCTTCGACTCTTCGAACCACGGCTACCTGCCCGACCTGTACGGCGCTAAGTTCCCGTCGTCCTACCTGGACCCAAGCTCCATCGGACATCAGTTCTACGGCGGCGTGAGCGGCTCCCAAGCCTCGGGCAACCTGGGCCCGGTAGGCTCGACCGCGAGCACCACCAGTCAGCAAGCCGACAAGGCCCTGGTCGAGGGCCTCAACAACTTCGGACTAGGAAGCGTCACTCCGTATCCGGCGAGCCAGTACCAGCATCTTCTCGTCGCCAACTAATACCCCACACACCTGGCCCCATCGCGCCCCCGCGTCCCTCGTCCATCCTCGGCGGTCTGATCCAATGAGAATCCTCCTTGTGACCCGTCATCGTCATCGGGTTCCGAGTGCCGTTTTTTTCAGGAACCAAAAACAAAAATAAGAGCTCAAACGTCGATGACTCGATGAATTGGTTCCACTCTGGTGGTAGCCGGGGATCCTCTTTCTGAAATAACGATTTGCAACCTCACGTCGTCCCTACGTGGGATAACGTCCCCGTGAACAAAATTCCCAGAGAAACTGATTCGACCCAACCGATGCACGATGACGATGACACGGTCCAGGATTCTCGTGTCGAGGATGACGAAGTCGCGGGATTTACTTGAGAGAGACGGCTTTGCTCCGATCGTCATTTTTTGGTAAGCAACCACTGGATCGTGCAGGCATTGTCCTTGTAAAAGTTGCTTCTTGTCGTACGCTCCTGATTCTTCTATATGATATAGAGACATGAAATACCTTCCTTCAAGATCCCTCCAAGGACACGAGAAAAACCCACCTATAACGCTAGACAGAATTTCTCCGGTAGAACGAGTCGAAAAGGCAGGCAAACCGCAGGGACGCGATCGACTGTGCGAGAGTGCGCATGCGCGGGTGCTTGTCGCTGTCGCTCAATTCCTGAGACTTTCTCGAAGGCGTCCGCGAAGAGAGCGACAGCGAAGAGTACAGTTACGTGAGAGAGCGTATGAGAGAGAAAGAGAGCGGAAGAATTCGTAAGAGCGCTTCGGTGAGCGAATCTGTATGCGTGAGTGAGTGAATGTGACGTTAAGAAAAAAAAAGAGAAAAAAAAGAGCATAAATGGAAGCTAACTGAAACACCCGGTACGTACCTTGAATGCGCGCGTAGAGTTTGTTTGGCAAGGTGTTGGGGCTTTTTGTACGTGTATCTGTACGATCCGTGTGAGCGTTTGATCGATTGACGATCGATCAGGGTGAATACGAGTGTTCAAATAAAGTTCCAACATCGAGCGAAAGCAAACGCTGCGGCAAGCTGGGACATTAAAAAAAAAAAAATATTACCAAGGTGTAATAATTTATTTTTTCACTGGTATAGTCGGAGATTAATATATCTGTAGAGCCTATGTATTATATTCAGATGCACTCAACGGGTTATGGCGAAGCGGTATAGGGAATTACTACTTACACGGATACTTTTTAACGTCCGTCTCCAAAGCGTACTTCGGTACTGGCTTGGGGCAAAAGAAGAAATATAATGAAAAACTAGCGAAACTATGTAAACGAAGGAATTACATCGTGAAGGGAAGATTTATTCGCGCGAGACAACAGATATGCAGATTAGCTGTGTGCGATTGGCCAGGAATCAAACTACGTAGAATCGAGATGCGAGCTAATGCCCATTTGGATGGGTGTGCCGGGAGGATTGACAAAATGCAAAAGTAAAAAGGAAAATGGGAGAAACGATATGCGAGGTAACGATAGATGTCCAAAGACGAAGTACTCGGAGTCTCGTACCGTTTGGAAAATTCGTCTTCGGTAAACGATCTTACATTTTATTTTTATAATAAATGCCGTAGAAATAGAGGTGCGCGTAGATGACGTAAGTGGCGCTGTTGCATCAAGCGCGAAAAATCGCGCTAACGATCGACGATGGCCTTTCTTGTCGCGATCGTCCAGTCGCAGGACTTCGAAAAAAATATATAAAAAAGTGATTCAAGCAAAAATCATAGGTACCCTCCAATGAGTCCGGTGCTCCGTTGCCGGCCGATCTAAACACACTGGATGATCGTACCTATGCTCGAAATCGGCCCGGGCCGATGATTGGTCGAAAAACGAAAATGAAAAAAAAAATTTGATAAGAATAAAAAGAATGATAGTTCAAAAGGACTACAAGGTAACATCCCGTGGTGGGGGAGAGAACGAGAGGCGCTTAATAAAGTCAAGTACAAAATCGAAATCAATTAAGTTCCACTCGATTACTGCCCGCTCGATTTGAGGAAGGCCAGCAGCGACAAGCCACGTTACGTCTGCGAATTAATTAGGTGATTTACGTAAAAACAAATTAAGGCCGTACTTATTGTTACAAGGGCAATGATCTCAAAGGGGATAACGGAACGCTCCGATCCCGCGTCTCTGTGTCTGAATCTGTCTGTGCTAATCGGGGAATCCCCTTTCGGTGTCACTCTCAAGGATAACAGGCTTCACGGGGATTCCCCTATTCGCAGTCGCAGAATCGGAGCGTCCTCTTAATCCCGAGTGTTGCGCTTGGCGATGATCAATATGGCGGAGGTGCCGCGAGCCGCGGGCCGGGCACTAGGTGCTACAAGTATTAAACGTTATCCTGGCATCGTGAGACAAATATTCGATTGCGCATCCCGATCGTCTGAGCATGGACCAGTCCCTGGTGTATCCTGATCCCGTAGATCCAGGGGGATGACGGATCGGAGATCCCAGGCCACGTGCTCGGCGACGTGGTTGTCGTTGGTACGTGCAACAAATAAAGAAAAAAGAAACAGAAGTAAACTGATGAATTTTCGAATTAAAGAACGGAGAGTGTTGAGTGTGAGAATCGTGATGAAACAGAAAAAGAGTACGAGAGGGTGTGAGTGAGAGGTAGCGAGAGACAGTAGTGAAAGAGAGAGAGAGAGAGAGAGAGAGAGAGAGAATCAAGCAAAATAGCAAAAGAGAAAGAGATACAGAGCTACAAGAGCAGTACCCCCCTAATAAGATATCTAAACTTAATTATACTATTAAAGATACGTACGACTGTGGTAGCTATGCTAGTACCTGCTATTGTTATAAAGAAAAGTAATGTGGACAAACAAAAAAAAAAGAAGTAACGAAACAAATCATCAAGTCAAGTCTCACCGTGGACTATCGGTTGTGCAACGCGGTCTAGTCGCGTGCCCATAGAGAATAGGTGAAAAGAAAAAAGCCAAAAAAAGAAAGAAAGTCAAAGAAACACACGGATAACGAGAAAAAGTTAAACCGGGTAGAACAATAGAGGACTCTGAACGAAGCGCTCGAGGAAACGGGGATTGTCGTTGTCATTTTATTTTTTTTCTCTCTTCTATCTCCTACCAACCCTATACTTTTCTTTCTCTTTCGATCCCGATGCGTGTCAATTATTAATTTTGTTTTTTTTTTTTCCTCCAAGAATTTTCGCACTCGCAACCCACTCAGAATCTGCGCGCGACCTGACCGGTTCCTTTGCACGTTATTTCTCCAATACTTTCGGGCGCGGCTAATCTAACGGGTGTGCGCGAAGGAGGGCACTCTGGTCTTTCGCAACAATTGCAATATACTCGCGAATCAAATGGATCTCGGGTTGGTACGAGAGGCTCAGCTCTGCAAAAAAATCAAACACGATGTATACTCTTTTTAGTGGACGAGGAAAAAATTTAGGAGAAAAAAGAAATACAAAAAAGTAATAGTAAATAGTTAGCATACTCCAGGTTTACTCCGCGCGTGTACACAAAACAAATGACGATGGGCATGCATATTCATGTAGGCGAACACACGAAAGGAATGTAGAGCCAAACGCGTGCAATACAACAGAGACACGTATAGTTGGCAGGACACGTGAGACGAGAGGAGCAAATGTTGGGAATATGAAATAATAATAGTAATAACAATAACAACAAGAACATTAATAATAATAATAATAATGCTAAGAAATAATTAAAAAAAATAACACGCAAGTGAGAGAACCTATCGATAGATTAAAAAATAAACACTTGGGTATAGATATATATACAAGAAAAAGAGAGAAAGGCGACATATAGTATTATACATTTACAGTACGATTAATTAAACAACACTTTGTATGAAATTGCCCATAGTTTTCCATAATTACTGAATGTACTCGTTTAATGGGACTCTCGTGAGGAAGAAACGAGGGAAGGAGAATGGGGGGGGAGGAGGAGGAGGAGGAAAAAAAGTAACTAAACCACCGTGTAAACTGGTAATCTGTCTTTAAAAATATCAAGTGTCTATATTAGTGATCGATATTGTCTAACGTAACGGAGACGAAGAAAAGAAAAAAAAAAAAAATGAGATAAGCCGTGTAATTAGCATAGTGACGATGATAACTTGCATACACTATATTCTTATACCTTAGACCAGGAACGACGTGTGTGCGAACGTCGAGTAGAGATTCTGTGTATTGCGTAGGCGTGAAAAATCTTTATGGAAATCGAGCATTAGGCGGTGTACGACTTGAACGTGACGGACGGTGCGGACGTAGGTGGGAAGCACGTGCGAGTGAGAGAGACGCGAGTATGTGGAGACAACGATACGCGTGAACGCCTGTGAGATTGAAACACGTGGAAAGAGTATTGAAAATCGGGCAGGAATCGAGTCCCGAGTGAACCCGAGATATCGAAGGAGAGATAAAAAGAAAATAGTAGGGGAGGGCGGGATATGAAAAAAAGGTTAGAAAAGAAAAAAGTACACAAAAAATTGTTCATTAAAAAGTACCTTGCGGCCGGTAGGTTATAACGAGCGGAGATTTCATTTGGCTGAGTGTGGAGATTGGGTGTCTGTGAGAGTGAGTGAGGGTAGGACACGTGAGTGCAATGGGAGAGAATGAGAGCGAATGAGTCTGCGTGTTACGTGTAAGAGAGAGAGAGAGAGAAAGTAAGAATTGAATAGAAAAAAATGTCATTTGGAAAATGTCATTTGAAAAGCGCGCCCTTTTTACTATTTAAACAGCGTAACGGGGTTGGGGTGTTGATCCGCGAGGGGGGCGAGACGAAAGGGTTGAGGAAGAGGAGAGAGAAAGAGAAAGGAAAAGAAGATGGATATATATATATATATGTAAATTTGATACAGGGGATGAACATCTAGGGGTTGAATAAAAAAGGGCGATTAGGGGGGCCGATCGAAGCCGAAGAGGCTTGAGAATCGGAGCGAGAGATATAAATGTAACGTGCAAGGAGATACGAGGATAATGGATAATGATAAAAGATAAAGGTCTATACGCTAAACGAAATGAACGCGACGGGCCAGGCTCTATACTCGCATATTATTATTGTAAATAGTTGGACTACTCAGATAGCCACGTTTTTTCTACACACCCTATACTTATATAACACGTGACGCACGTATTACTTACGTGACCACGTGGCGTCCTCTCGGGTAACCATACACGTGTCGAAATCTTCAAGTTCTCCGATTCCTCACGCGTTACCCGCCACCTGTGCGTAGGAACACACGTGTTCCCGTATTTTGTATATATACACACATAACAAACCCACGTGCCCCGTGTACACACACGAGAAAACATACCAGGTGGCACTATTGATTGTAATCGAGTAATTAACCAGAGGATGGATAATTAGATTTGTAATTAATTATATATATTTTTCAATACTTTAACTATTCGCTGTATTTGTTATAACTATATATATATATCTGTATATATATATATATATATAGAAAGAAAGAAAGATACATACGCGGTAAACACAAAAACACACAGGACAGATATACTGACACCAATTTAAAAATATATTTGACGTTCGATGCGTAATGAATATTAATACGATCCACAGGATGATTTATGCGAATTGGATGGTGATCTAGAGAGATCCTGCATATTATTGTTATTACTTGATTTTATCATTATTATTATTGCCGGTAGATCCTTCGGGGGAGCCGTGCGAATTTTTCGATTTTATGTCTACGACCGGTGAGCATCGTCCATTTACATTGTTTCGCTCGTAAGAATGTTGGCGCAACCCCCCCCCCCCCCCC